TGCAACAAGAGAGGCTGTTCTACAATGGTGCTGGAGACCTGTGTTGGCAGGGTGAAAACTTTAAAAACAGGCATACCAGTCGGTGACTGTCCAAGAAGTGGATGCTGTTGAAGAGCAAGATCTATTCTGGAGAAGTGACTGATCACAAGATGATTTCTGGTATAAATATCATGGCGAATAAGCTTATGCATATCTAATCTTGTTGCCAAATTGTAGCTGAAGCCCTAGTTTCTTAGGCTGTCTACCTTTTTTATTTTGGGGCACAAAGTATTCCAATAAGTGTGAGTGTACATGTATGCTGTGCTTCATTATAGTGGGAGAGAACTCTCTGATGCTGTGTGTGATTACTAATCAGGATTGTTCATTTTATTAAGCAGAGACACCTTTGTTGCTTTGAATCATTTTTATTCACCAGTTGCAGAAGAAATTGAAGTTAATTCATTACCCTGTAAATTTAGTCTTGAAGAAACACCAAACTTGTGACCACAGGAAAATATTATTGATCTTTCATTTCACTTTGAGGAGAGGCTAGATAAAGTAGAAGAGAGGTGCACTGAAGATGAAGTTGAGCAGCTACAAGATGATATGCTGGACCTTTAATTTAGTCTTCAGGAGAGAGCATTAGAAATTAAAGATGCTGCTGACGGGGATTTATTTGGGAAGGAAATCTTGAAACTTGTTTTGCTCTTTGAAGACACCATTAATGATGACCATTAAAGTCTTGATGTCTCATGAGAAGATTCAGCATGTTACTGAAGAAGGCTTTAGCAGTGCAGAGCATTATCAAGATGATACAGGTGTGAAGTTCTTCATGGAAATTAAAATTGGTTCAAATTTCAAACCAGTGCTTTCGCCTTTCCTCGGTGTGCTAAGGAGAAGCAAAAGCAGCAGAAGAAAATGAGAATTTTAGTTTATTGTTTGTTTTCCTGAGTTTTTGATAGGTGGTGTGGGGTGGTGGGTAATGCACTTAGGTCAAAAATGGAAATAGTTAAAGCATAGAATGAAAGATTTGGGGGAGATATCAGTTTTATTCATTATGAAAGTGCTGAATCTTTGAGCTAAAGGCACGCTTACTGAAGAAAGTTTCACAGGCCTGGATTTTGCAGTGGTAATTACATTTGAAACTAAGTGTTCACTGCCATTATCTTCACTGAAACTACCCTACTGCAGCGAAACTGGGAGTCTGCAGAAATGCCAAAAAAGGCTGAATGCCATGAGTTGTTAGTGATTCTGATGTCCCTTCAAGCCATACCCAAGATCAACACCTGGCAATTAGTTAACTGTTGGCATTTGTTAATGCATGGGGAGTGTTAGTTTTGCATTGGTAGAGTTGTGAAGACTTTGGATTGGGTAACTGTTATTGGCTGTATAAGTGTTTGAAAGAGCACTTGAACTGTAGTTTCTAAATGGCTGCCTTTTCACCCTTTTTTTGGTTAAAACAAAAATATAAACCGGTGATTTTGGGAGTTGCTGAAACAGTTAGAAAATTATCAGTGCACTTATACAAGAAGTGTGGCTTGAACGTCTCTGCTCCATAAGAGAATGCTTTGGCAAATTTAATGGAGGTATGCGATTTCCCCTTTAAGGTTAGTGGGAACTTCATAATGAACAAATGTCATTTGCTTATATCTGACGTTTGTTTGTACAGCAATATTTCCTTTTTTTAAAATTCAAGTTCTGATCTCAGAGAATGTATTTATTTATGATTGAGCACTTTATCTATTGCCTGCAGTTTCTTCAGACATTAAAATTAAGTGTTCATTGCAATAGTATTTACATCAGTTCTTTAACTATTTTTCAAATTGACCCCACTTTAACACTAGAAAATTAATGTGATTCAGATGTCACAAAACCAAATAGCAATAAAGTGGTACAGTATATAATTATTGGTATATAATTGTATTAAAGTTCGAGTAGTACAGATCATCACGCAAATATGAAAATCAGTGATGAAAGCCCTGGGTCCTCAGTGATTAGGCTGACCTTGGAGATGCCTTCAAAGATGTATGGACTTCATCTTTCCTCTCATGAAGAAGGATGAGGACAGCAGATAAATGGAATACCATCACTTCAAGTTCCCCTCCCAAGCCACTTGCCATGCATATCACTGTTCCTGCAGTGTCACTGGGTCAAAATCCTTGAACTCCTTCCCTAACAAGCTTGTGGGTGCACCTATACCAAATGGGCTTCAGTGGTTCAAGGCAGCTTGCCACCATCTTTAAGGGCAGCTAGGATGGGTAATAAATGCTAGTCCTGCTAGCAATGTCCACATTCCATGATTGAATAAAAAGTATGTTAGTTTACTTCTGACATTAAACATGGAGATCCCTAATAATTAACAATAGTGATATTATCAAGCAGGCTAGGCAGTTGATCATATTGAAGAATTCTACGACAACAGACCAGAAAACACACAAGAATGATCATCGTTCATTATTTAATCATTTTAGAAATAACAAATGGGGATCTTCTACTCATTCACAGGATGAGACCATTACTGGCTCGACAGCATTTATTGCCTATTCCTAATTGCCCAGAGGGCAGTTAAGAGTCAACCACATTCTGGGTCTGGAGTCACATGTAGGCCAGACCAGGTAAGGATGGCAATTTCCTTCCCTAAAGGGAAGTTAGTGAAGTTAGCATTAATGAACCAGATGGGTTTTTCCTGACAATTGACAATGGATTCATGGTCACTGTTAGACTCTTAAATCCAGATATTTATTCAATTCAAATTCCACCATCTGTCATGGTGGGATTCGAACCCTGGTCCCCAGAACATTCTCTGGGTCTCTGGACTAACAGTCCAGCAATAATACCACTAGGCCATCGCCTCCCCAGTGATGGAGTGCAATGGTAATGTCACTGGATTAGCAATTCAGAGGCCCAAGGTAAAGCTGTGGGCACACAGCAGCTAGTTGAATTTAAATTCAACTAATAAATATATCTGGAATTGAAAGCTTGTCATCGTAATGGAGCCATGGAACTATCATCGATTTGTTGCAAAAACACATCTAGTTTACTACAGAAGGAAATTTCCCATTCTTCTGGCCTAAATGTTATTCAACACCCATAGCAAAATGATTTAACTCCTGAGTGCCCTCTGCCCTCTGAAGTGGCCTAGCAAGCTACTTAGTTTATGAGCAGTTAGGGATGGCCATCACATTGCTATAGGTCTTGAATTGCATTTAGGCCAGAAGGAATGAAAACAAGATGGGGTGATAGGAGAGGAGCAGCATAAGAAGTCAGAGGCAACGGTTGGGGAGAAGTGACATTCTGTAACTCCCATCCTTCCTAGCCCCAGGTCCCTTTATTGGGCATAGAGTGATTGATAATGAGGCACCTGCAGCGGTTTGTTGGCCAAGTTGAGGCATCACTAAATTACAAGGGGACCTGGGATAATGGATAAAGAGCCTAATTGACATCCTGTTGTTGGCAGCTGGGAATTCCACATCAGCCCCTTTTTGACTTCATCTTAATCAGTGGGGCTTCTCCTGCCTCCCGGGACTGATGAAGAACTTCTCCCATGAATAAGTAGACCTGGCCTCCCTGGTTTCCTGTGCGCCTGGCAAATCCAACCTCTTCTAAGTTTCCTTTCATAAATACTGAGTCAAAACAGCTATTCAATATTTCTGTCATTCTTGATCATTACTTCTAAATTTTATCTCCTGCATCCTTTATCACATCCTAATTTTATGGTTATTTGTATTATTGCAGAATTCTATTTACTTTTATGTTCCTTCACTTTAGTTTTGTATATCCTTTTAACTTTTTGACTTATTTTTCTGACACTGTTATGATCTCTCCTGCCTCAAACTTACAGGATACATAACTAATGATTTATTTCTCATATATTACTATTCATTTATGTGGCTAAAATGTTTAATTTCAATTATTTTATTCTTCCGCATTCTGAGCTACTTGTATTACCTCCTCAAAGAATTCAGGCCATACTTTAAATCTCCAAGTGATTAGTTTCTCTCAGGATCTCAAGTCTGATGAGCATACATCCATTCACTGTCTCAGTAAAGCCCATTTTTGTACTCCAAACCAAAAAAGCATTCAATTCTCTTGTGCTGCTTCAGCTGTTGCTTATTGTTGGTTAGCAGTTAACATTTTAATTTTTGTAAACTCAAGTAGAAGCAACATTTGGATTTGGCAAAGCCAGAGGAAAGTCATTGTTTGCAAGCTTATGAGAGGAGCATGTGATGTTATAATGGTGGACATGCTGCAACTGGCATTTAGTTCCTGATCACAGCAATATCACTGCTCAAGGTTAATGAAGAAAGGGAGATTGATGCTGTTAAATGTGTTCCTACCAGCCTTGAATCTTGTGTGCTTGGAAACCAACAGTGAAAGTAATTTATTACTTATTTGGAGAAAACTGCCAGTAAGTCCATGAAGCTATTCTCGGGAATACTATCCTTTCAATGTGTGAATGAGCTCTACAAATTGTAGTCATACAATTGAAGTTAAAATTTCATGCTTTATTGCAAGCTGTTTATTGAGCCACTAATCTGAATTCAGTGAGCTAAATTGTATTTGCAATGTATAATGTTATAATTTTGTGAAATGTATTAACTTCTGGAGGATGAGTAGGAACTGAGCAAAATAGAATTCGATATCTCTCTGGATTATTTCAGAGGGGAGAAAAATGGATGACATTTTCATTTCAAGCCAATCTGATTTTGTAGGTGCAGAGGTGGGAATAAGTTTGTATTAGCAAGTTTGTATTTGCGATGTGTTTGTGTCCCATTAGTTTCATTTGTTATCAGTGTGGTCCTTTTTTTTGTTTGAACATTTTGTGGATACAAAGATATAAAACATCAGTTGTTGCACTTGTGTTGGGGTCAAGTATAATTTAATGTCTCCAATCATTGTTATTGCAATTGTTTGGACATTTTGATAGTACTATGTAATATCCAGAACTTGAGATAACTGAATGGAAATGTTTTAATTTTGTGTGATTTTCTAATTTTCTTTTCTTCCTGTCCAAATAAAAGGTATTGGAAAGAATGTGATTTGTGAAAAAGCAGCTACTTCAGGGGATGCCTTCAAAATGGTGAAAGCAGCTCGTTACTATCCTAAACTCATGAGTATTGTTGATAATGTACTTCGGTTTCTGCCAGCATTTGTGAAGATGAAGCAGTTAATTGAAGAAGGCTACATCGGTAATGTCATGATCTGTGATGTACGTGTATATTGGGGCAGTCTTCTCAGCAGCAAATATAACTGGATCTGTGACGAACTGATGGGTGGGGGTGGGCTTCACACTATGGGCACCTATATTGTAGATCTGCTGACTCACTTGACCAATAAGAAGGCTGAGAAGGTCCACGGCCTCCTGAAAACCTTTGTGAAACAAAATTATAACATACATGGAATCCGACACGTCACTAGTGATGATTTCTGCTTCTTCCAGATGTTAATGAATGATGGTGTGTGTAGCACTGTTACACTCAACTTCAACATGCCTGGCCCATTTATCCATGAAGTCATGATTGTGGGATCCACAGGCCGTTTGGTTGCTCGGGGCACAGACTTGTATGGACAAAAAAATACTTCCTTCAAGGAGGAGCTGCTGCTTGCTGATACCATGTCTATAAATAAACCTGGACTGCTAGAGAAAGCATTCAGCGATATTCCCCTTATATATTTAAAAGGCACAGTTTACATGGTGCAAGCCTTGAGCAAATCCTTTAAGGATCAAGAGGATCGGCGCACTTGGGCCCACAGGCCAGTTTCAATGGCTGCATCCTTTGAAGATGGCCTTTATATGCAAAGTGTTGTGGATGCTATTAAGAGATCGAGCAGGTCTGGGGAATGGGAAGTTATTGCTATGATAACAGAAGAACCAGATTCTAATCAGAACCTATGTGATGCCTTGCAACGTAATAACTTGTAGTAAACATTATGGAGTAATAACGCAGTAGATACATTTCACCAAAACAGAACCTTATTCCAATTCAAAGATCATGTTTAAGGTAACAATACAATTTCAGGTTAGTTTTTGTAAGTACATTACAGATTCTGTGTTTTTGGAGTTGTTTCAGCGTATGCAGTTATAACTGCGCAAATGTCAAGAAACCATTCTTAAGTTCTAAATAAATTCCTAAATTTTAATCATTGTCTGTTAACAGACTATTTCAACAAGCTGTCAGATAACAGTAGTTGAGCAAAGAATGAGAATGGTACAAGCATTGAAATGATCGTGCTTGCTCATTCCTAAAGCCACCCTGGAGGAAAAATTGGATGCATTCAATATTTCAAAATCAATTCTTACAGGCAGAAAACACATTTATTCATAGAAATTTAAATAAGGTTTCTAATACAGCATTGAAAGTTGTGGCTGACTGTAAATTTATGTTTTCCTGTTTTGTATTGCTCCTTGTCTGTGGACTTACTCCTCTAAAATTTCAAAAGAAACCTAGCACTGATCCTGGAAAAATGTCCCTTTTCCCAGAGGTTAAATTGCATGTTTAATGACAGTTGAATCTATTTCTTTTTGTGATTTGATTTGAAAATTTGTTGCAACCTAGATAATTCTGTCTATGGTTTCGGCCTTTAACACATACTAATCCTGACCTCTGTGAGGGTGATGTCATGGGTATAGTTTCTTTTGTGGAATCGGATGTAATCACTGAGTGCCGATGACCTAGTTTCAAAGGAAGAACCAGGTGAGCAGATCAAATCACCTTCAGTTTCAGTTAGGAAACAAATCGCAAGCAATTTGTCTAAGTTCCAGTGCCATTAAGCCTTTTGAAATCACCAAGTTTGCTTAAAGCTTTGTAAATAAAGTAGAACTGTGTGATGACATGAACTATGTGGAATGAAGGTACATTGTTATCTGTAGTGCCTTATGTAGGCCAGCCTCTATTCTCTGTCCTGTCTTTATGTGCATACAAGCTAAATATCCAAACACACTAACCTGATCAATTGGCAGACTTCATTTTTAGAAGAATGTTATTAGTGATCCTGTCATGGCATGCAATTATTATTTAGTACTTAAGCAATTAACTTGAGTTTTTCCTTTTGGTGTATTGTTTACAAATTGACGGTTCTGGTAAAACAAAAATTTATTTTAATAAATTGGCTATTGATAGGACTAGGAGAAAAACAAGTGTTGAGCACCAGTTTATCCGTATGGATACATATTTCCCCATTTTTTGAAAGATAAATATTCTCGTTTATGAAAAACTCATTAAAATTGGGGTGGGGAAATGTGGTAACGCAGGGAAGGGATTCGAATTGACTAAGTAATTTCAAAATGTATATACCATATTTGAAAAAGCATGGCAAAAATGGCTGGAATATTTTTGTAATGTGCTGCATTTGTTTTCCACTTTGAATTTTGGTGATGTGAAATACCAATTACTGTAATAGCTGTAAAAGATGTTTTCGGACCTGTAGATCTTAAGTTTTTAAGTACATCCAAGTTGTGTATTTTTGTCATAGTTTTTAAAAAGTCTAAATTTAATTTTTTCAAACTCTTTGTATATGTTGACTCCAAAGAGATATTTATTACAGTCTTAAGTGTTTTTTATTAAAACTTGTTTGCTTTGCAAGACTGTTCGGGATGGGGACTGAATCCGTGTTCAATATTCAGCTAGGCTGTTTCACTGAAATAGTTGAACTGTACAGACAATTGGGTGACTATAGATATTTATTTTTCATTAAATTCAGATATATGGGTTATTTATATTGAGGTTTATTTTCCATTGATAGGGGTCCAAGCATTAAACTTGATAAATTTCCTGTGTAAAATGCTGAAAATAAAAATGTTTATTTAAGACGTTTTGTTTTTTTAAAGTATTAGTGTCCTGTTACTATAAAGGTGGAACTTTGGGAAATAGTCTTGTGTCCATATGTCAGAATATTTGTTTTACATGTATAGATTGTCTATACAAAAGACAAGATTGATATTTTACTTGATAATGTGATTAAATTTTGTTTATGGACACTGATCTATTAATTCTTCAGCAGGTGGTTTTTAAGCAGTTCAAATAAAGATGAAAATAACACTGAAAACAATGCCTTCCTTTGGTTTGAATACTGTCCATTTCCACATAGAGGAAATGCAAGTTTTGCTGTATTTGGGAAATGTACCCATTACATGTTCTGTCTTTGAGTTCTAGCATGTCGTTGAAACTGTTAAAAGTTTCTGAGCCAGTAAATTATTTACCCTGTGTTTCAGAAATAAAAATGCTATTTTAAAATTGAATTTTTGGCCTCTACTATGATTTTTTTTTTAAATTCTATAAATCAACCAAGTATGTTCCATACAATTTACTTCACAGCATGATGTGTAACTTATTTAGTAGTGCGCTTCTTTCCAGGGGCTTTGAATCCTTTCAAATAACTGTTTTTTAACTTTGAAAGTTGAAAAACTTTATCACTTTTTGAAATTGCTGCTGTCAAGCTCCTGTGGAGACAAATATTGGGAGAAGAATATCATATGGTAAGGATAGAAGTGTACAATTTTTAGACAACATTGAGCCTATTCATTGATCTTTTCCAGTTTGTATGTAATTGTTGTATACTTACTGTGTAAAGTAAGGAAGAATTGCTAAATTTCTACACTGACTGGATTAGATAAATCAAAACTCAACTGAGAAATACTGATTGATTTTATTTATCTGAAAAAAAATTCTTCTTTATAGCATATCTGGGCCATACTCAATCTCATAATGCTGTGCTAGACAGGGAAAAATAAAGAATTGAAGGTTCTATATGACACTTGTTTGGATGATCCTTTATGCTTAGATGTCCAGGCTTTTTTTTTTTTTTTTTGCAGCCTTGTATTTTTCCTTCTCAGCCAGTAAAATAATAAAGTCTGCTAGTGGTTGTTTATTTTTAATATATATCTTGACTTGTTTTCAGAATTGATTCCCTCATTGTTGTATGTTCCTGATGAAGATTTACTCTTTTTTTGCATTTTGTTTTCATTCTTGGGTACCCTCTAAACTTCTGCATTTATGTTTTATATTCAGCTAGGTGATATCTGTTCTTGCTGATTTTTTTCCAGTTTGTGATGTAATCTGCTACAGGTTTAACCTTGTACTTAGAAGTTTTGTTCTGTTGCCACTTTGCAAACCCTCCCAGCACTTTCTGGTTTGTTTGATTTATTCGTTGTGATTCTGTTGTGCTTTGTGTATTTTATGTAGCTTTTCTTAAAAGATTGGAGAGGAGGTGGTTTTGCTGATGGATTAATGAATTGAGCCGAACTGTGTAGAGCAGATATTTGGCTCTGTTCATGGTCTGTTGAATTAGCTCATGTCTGCTGAAATAGCAGTACATTACAATTAGCCTCTATACTATTGGTATAGGATCTAATGTCCTCTTGCTCTATAGTGACGCCAACTGGGAACTGAGCTGAGACTGTGATGTCATGCTGTTCTGGTTTCAGAGTTTGTAACTAATAATGTTTTTTTGGCTTGGTGATGGCTGTTTAGACACTTAACTGCAGCAAAAGTCTGTATCTTCCAGAGAGGACAGCATCAATTACATGAATCAGCTAAATTACTTTGCTTTGCTACCAGTTCAATGATGCAATTCAAAAAGAACACTTTTTTCTCTCAGAATTGGTTTCCTGAGCCTTGTAATTTTTTGTAAAAATCTGTGTATAAATGATAGAAATCAATTTATTTATATTATATTTTCCCAATTCTGCATTTATATTTTTAATGGGTTTTACCCATGTAAAACTGTGTAGTTTATTTCCAATGTCCAATACAACGGCTTAAAAGCCTCTTTAAAAATTGTGATTTCACAATTACTTGATTAAATTTATTCAATGAATTGCCATTGTCTTTAATATCAAGTTTTTACTAGAAAGCTGCAGTTTCCCAAAAGGCTAATTTTGGAATCAGTACTTTTGCTCAGATCTGTGATGCTGTGAGCTTTTGGTTGTGCTGTCTCAGCACAGGCAGTTTATTTATTTTCAAGGATTAGTTTGTTCTAATCTCCACCCAAACTGATGGGGATGAGAGAGAAATACTAGAATAAAAATAAATTGACACAACAGTTGTCACTTATGTATTTTATTCATTACGCTCAGACCACTTCTGATTTGTTTTGGACTGAAAAAGGAAAAGATGCAGCTTTGAACCAAAAGTGTGGAAGAAAATGTTGCGGTTTTTAAAACCAGTTGGTACAAATGACATATGTTAAGTAAAGGGGGTAAGGTGCTAAAAGAATATAGAGTTAGGAAATAAGTTGAAAAGTAGGACCTCAAAGGTAGCAATCTCTCAATCACTACCAATACAACATCCTAATCAGTAGGAAAAAGATGTAAAATTACATGAATTCATGGCTCAAGCAATGGTGAGAGGGAGGGTTTTGTATTCCTGGGGGCATTGGGACCAGTACAAACTGGATGGATTACACCTGAGTAGGATTGGGACCGAAGACCCAAAGGAATATTTGCTGGAGTGGTTGGGGAGACTTTAAACTAAAATGGCAGGGGAATGGAACCTATGAAAGGAGCCAGAGGATGGGGAATCAAGGACAAGAACAAACGACAAAGTGGAATAAGAAACATAATGGACACACAAATCAGAGGCCAGGATCAAACAGTCACAGTAAATTAAAGGAAGTGGGACAAGTAATGATGAAAAGACAAACCTTAAGGCTTTGTGCATTAATGCACAAAGCAATCTCTATTAAGCGAGTGAATTAATTACATGAATAGATGAAAATTAAATATGATATAGTTGGGATTATAGAGACCTGGCTGTAGGGTGACCAGGGATGCGAACTGAAAATCCAGGGTATTCAGTATTTAGAAAGGGCAGACAAAAAGGAAAAGGCAGTGGTGTTGTATTGCTGGTTAAAGAGGAAATTAACACAATAGTGAGGGAGGATATTAGCTCTGATGTAGAACCTGTAAGGATAGAGCTGAGAAACACCAAGGGGCAGAAAATGTTTGTTTGATTGGCGGGGGTGGGGGGAGCTGGGTGGAGGAGTATATTGATCCCCAAACTGTAGGGGTGATGTTGGGAATGGCATTAGAGGTGCATGCAATGAAGGAACATTTCAAATTATGGATGACTTTAATTTGAATATCGATTGGGCACATCAAATTAGTTCATAAGTGGTGCGTATGTGGAATGGACTGCCAGAGGGAGTGGTTGATGCAGGTACAGTTAGAACATTTAAATGACATTTGGACAGATATATGAATAGGAAAGGTTAAGATGGATTTGGGCCAAATGCAGGCAAGTGGGACTAATTTACTTAAGGAAATTTGGTCAGCAGAGACAAGTTGGACTGAAGGGTCTGTTTCCTGCTGTATGATTCTATGAATCTGAGAAAAGTGGCCAAATCATGGTTTACAAGAGAAATTAGTATTAGATCTGAAGAGGTGTATTTTTTTTTTCCAGGCCAATTTGTAACACACCTGAGGAGTGGGAGCAGTTTAGAATTCAGCAAAGGAAGACAAAGGGATTGATTTAAGAAAGAGAAAATAGAGTACGACAGTAAGCTTGCAGGGAACATAAAGACTGTAAAAATGTGTTTGAGGTATGTGCAGAGAAAATGATTAGTGAAAACAAATATAGGTCCCTTTACAGTCAGAAACGGGAATTTAAAATGGAGAACAAGAAAATGGTTGACAAACTAAATACATACTTTGGTTCTGTGCTCAGAAATGAGGACACCAATGACACCAAAAATGTTGGGAACACAGGTTTCAGTGAGAGCAAAGAACTGGAGGGAAATCCGTATCTGTTTGGAAATGATGTTTTGGGAATTGATGAGATTCAAGGCCAAGAAATCCTCAGGCCCTGATCATCTACATCCCAGAGTACTTAAGCAAGTGACCCTAGAAATAATGGATGCATTGGTGGTCATCTTCCAAGATTCTACTGACTCTAGAACCATTTCTACAGAGTGGAGGCTAGCTAATGTAACCCCTCAATTTGAAAAGAAAGGTAGAAAGAAAACCTGGAATTATAGATCAGTTAGCCTGATGTTAGTAGTGGGGAATATGCTGGAGTCCAGTATGAGATTTAATAGCAGAGCACAAAAGAACAGAATATTATTTAAATGGAGAAAAACTGCAGAAAGCGGCAACACAAATGGACTTGAGGGCACTTGTGCACGAAAACAGGAAGATAGCACGAGGGTGCAGCAGCAGTTAATCAGAAAGGCTAATGGAATGTTGCCCCTTTATTTCAAAGGGGATTGGAGTATAAGAGTAAGGGAGTCTTACTGCAGCTGTTCAAGGTGCTGCTGGTGTGATCACATTAGGAGTACTGTGAGCAGTTTTGATCCCTTTATTTAAGGAAAGATAGCACTTCATTGGAGGCAGTTCAGAAAAGGTTCATTAGGATGACCCTCAGCATGGAGGGATTGTCTTATGAGCAAAGATTAAGCAGGTTGAGACTCTACTCAATGGAGTTTAGAAGAATGAGAGGTGATCTCAATTAGACATATAGAGTTCTTCAGGGGCTTGGGTAAATGCTGGGAGGATGTATCCCCTCATGGGAGAGTCTAGGACCAGATGACACCGTCTCAGAATTAAAGGGCACTAATTTAAGACCGAGATGGTGGGGAGTTTCTTCTTTCAGAGGGCTGAGTGTCTTTGGAACTCCTTGCTACAGAGAGCTGAATGGGAAGAGTCCTTGTATATATTTTAAGGTTGATGTAGATTGATTCTTGATCTGTAGGAAAATCAAGGGAAAGAGCAGGAAAGTGGATGTGAGGAATGTTGGATTAGCCATGATCCTATTGAATGGCAGAGTCAGCTCGAAGGGCTAAATGGCTTACTCCTGTTCCTATTTCTTATGCTCTTATGGACATCCTGCTTGTTCTCTGACTCATCCTGAGTCTCATTGTCAGGGTATTGTACTAGGTCATCTCTCAGCAGTGTCAGATTGTGGATGGTGTAGTAGACCACAATAATGAGTGATACACAAGCGAAAGAATATCGAAGAGAACTGCCTGCATGATCTAAGCTTTGACATCTCATTTTTGGTTTGCTCAATGATGAGTCTGAAAGGTATGTAAATTTCAGCATAACACATTTCAGCTGTGTACTTCAGTTGGTATCCCTTGACTCTGAGAAGCCAACCGTCTAATGGCTCCAGTGGATAGGACATCTGTGGCAGCTGGGAGAACCTAAAGATGTAGGAGTATTGATTATTTCACTCCTGTATGACCCTTTGATGGTGACACACAAGTTAGACATTATTGCAGTGAAATCCTTTATAACTGACAAAT